ACCTTTTTCTTCCATGTTAGTTACAGTTACAAGTCTTTAGTTATATCCAAAGGCCCTGTTTGTGTCCATGGTCTTTATTCAGTGGACTATTCTGGCTATGCAAATAAAATTTGAAACTCACTTTGCCATAGGCATTTGAACACTTATGACTTCTCAGGTACTTACATTTTGAGTTTTGACTACGTACTGACTATAGTTGTTTTACATCAGATACATGATTTTCTTTTTTACACACTTATCTACTCATCTGTATTTTAAAAGCTTAATTTTAAGAGTCAGTCTCACTTCTCCCCAAACGGAAAAAAAAGAAAAAGAAGCCTGTGTCTTTGGATTAAAAATCAAATGTGTATTTCCTCATTATATAATGGCCCTTCATACATTTTATTTCTTGATTTACTTGACAATTGTGATCATTTTTAATGGCAATCCTTTGAGCCTTTTGCTAGACTTTAGCTGTTACGATTGCTGTATAATAGAATTGAAGCAATATATGCTATGGAGTGTTCATTGTGTAGAACTGAGCGGTATGTTAGATTCCAATTTGTTCTTGCTTGTTAGTTAGCTCATTTGGTGAGCTTGGGTCATTTGCTATAGCATGAACCTGGTTTGCTGCTCTGGAAAAATTATAATGATGAGTCTAGTAAGGAATAGCAAAAAGTACTAACAATCCATTATCTACTTCACTGCCCCAGAGAAGAGTGACTTAGCCTTATTAGAAGCGTCTTCCTTAGGCCAAGGTGCACCACCAACTATTTTCCAGTAAGTAACTACTTTAAGTTAATGACAATACCCTACGACATCTGTCTTTGGTACCATCTGTCTCAAAGAGGTGATTTTAAATACTCCCTGTGACCCTTTAATATCCAAGCACTCATATCCTTTCTTGAAGTCACTATATTGTATAGTAAAGTCTGAATAGAAAAGTAGGGTTAATCTCATTCTAAAGATGAGAAACAAATGGTAAGTTGATGATGTAAACATGTCCCAGTTCTCCTGCCTCACAGTATAAATAAAAAACCAAACTCTCTGCCCTCAAGTCAATTTTGACTCATAGAGACCCCCTTTAGGTTTCCGAGGCAGTAAATCTTTCCTTCCTTGGAGCGGCTGGTGGGTTTGAACCACCAACTCTCTGGTTAGCAGTCAAATGCCTTAGACACTATGCCACCAGAGCTCCTTGCTTCACAGTATAGTGCTCTTTATATTTGGTTGGATCACATAAAATTGCCATTTTTATAGATTAAAGTGGTGAAATATTGTCAATTTCTTATGCACAGCCTAACAACAATAGCACACTGTTATAAAGGATGTAGTCAAATCTCTTCTAAACTGAAAGAACCTGAACTTATAAAAAGCTTCCACATTAAGAGCTGAGATTTTAAGTTTAAAGGAATGGATGGATGCAGTGATGTGTTCTTTTATAGACCATACTTCCCCCATCTCTTTAATTTTGTCTGCCAGCATTTAAAAACCAGAAATTAAATAAGTATCTAAAAAAAGAAAATTGCCTGAATTCCACCAGGGCAACAACTGGCTGTGACTGAGGAGCAGCTGCTCCTCCCCCACTTACCATAGTCCCCACTGCTCCCTCATATCATATACCCAGACTGTCCACTCATTCACATTTTCTCCCTAGCCCTTGTATGCCTATGTGCACACCATCTCTGTGAAAGACCATCTGATAAACCCTGTCATCTTACAAATGAGGAAATGTATAGTACTTTTGGGAGCTCTGGTAGCATAGTGGCTAAGGCACTTGACTGCTCACCAGAAGGCTGGCGGTTCAAACCCACCAGCCACTCCTCGGAAGGAAGGTTGGGCAATCCTACTTCCATAGTGATACTGCCTCGGAAACCCAAGGAGGGGGCGCTATGAGTCAGGGCTGACTCCACGGCACACAACAACAACAACAACATAGTACTTTTAGAACAAAATACGGTTGGTCTACAAGCTTCTTAGGGAGAAATGGCCCCATGTTTAAAGTTATGTTTTAAATGACTTATTCAGTATTAATCTAATGCTATTTCTTTGATAGGTGATCCAAATCCAGAACATTTTAACAGATGAACCCAAAGTAACACAGGTTTATGCAGACAATGGCACAGTATTGCAAGGAAGTACAGTTGCCTCTGTGTACAAAGGGAAACTGCTGATTGGCACTGTGTTCCATAAAGCTCTTTACTGTGAGCTGTAACAGGCCTCTCTGCATCTGTGCCATGGAAACTGTGAGCCCATCAGTTTCAACTCATTGCCACATTCTAAAGGATTGGAGTGATCTCATCCGCACAATGAACATGGGCCCTGATTTTGGACATCATGGAGGATATCAAAGTGCTTATTCAACCGGGAGCAGATACAATATGTAAGGCTTTTCTGAGAGTCTGGTATCAAAATCAGTCTTGGAATACCTGAAAACTTTATTTACCAATAAAAAGCCTTCTGAAGAAAATGGCTGAAATTTTCGTATCAGTTAACTTAAATGTTTGTGACCTAAAAAGTACTTTCTCTAAACATGTGTCTTGTTCAGAAAATACGAACAGAATGGTCCATGACATTAGAATTTCAGTACTACTCAGAAACCCCAGTTCACATGCCAGCCAGCCAGGTGGGAATTGATCATAGCTCCTTAGCTATGGCATTAAACAACTGGCTTAGCCAGATGTAGTTGAATTTTCTCCTTTTACATTTTAACCTAATCACCCCAACTCTTCTTTTACTCGTTTTTCCAGTTCTCTTTTAGCATTGGCATGTAGGAAAACCTTAAAATTCTGAGATTGTTGTATGTGAAAATTAATAAGATATGGGTCATAATCCCTGAATCACTACCAAAATTGTACTCACTGGTTTCTTTGACCAAGCTAAAAGAAGTGGTTTGTATTTAGGTAAAGCCACGAGCCCCAAAGAATACACTGTTGAGATGGTGGGAGTGGTGTGGGTGTGGTTGTCTCCCGCACCCCTAATTTTAACTTGCTGTGGATGATGAGAAAAATAGAAAGGTAAACAAACAACATTTGTCTATCTTTTGAGGGACAAGACTTAGGAAGAAAATATAACTCTCATTTTCTTATAAAAGCTAGTGTATCTAGGAGCCCCCCGGTGGTGGTGCAAACGGTTGACATGCTCTGCTGCTAACCCAAAGGTCAGTGGCTCACGCTCACCCCAAGACGCTCAGAAGAAAGGCCTGGAAATCAGCTCTGAGTTGGAATTGACGTGACAGTAACTGGTTATTGGTTTCCTTCAACCCCCCCCCCCCCCGAGATATGGATTCTTTGCTGGATTATTTCTTTGGGACATTAAAGCAATCATTTTAGAAACAAAGTTTTTCTAAGGCACCTGCCATAATGATGAATAGGCATTTTGGAAAAAATTGTTTTTCTGATAATTGAAAACTGCCAACAGTTTAATACCACTGACTTCAAGTAGTAAACAGAAACACTTTGTTAGGATTAAAAAACACTTTTCCTCACATCAGGATTAGAATTACTTTTTTTGGGCGCTATTTCTGTGGAGGATATTATGTTTCCTATGAGTGCTCAATTATTCAGTGATGCTGTTCACCACCCAGGGAGCTGAACTCTTCTGAAACACTGTTTGGGATCAACCATGACTGTGAGCTCAGGAATAAAGAAAATCATGCATTTCCTTCACAAAGTATCACTTGAGCAGCTGGCCTCTGTAACATCATCTATAAAATGACCATACTCTCTTGCTCTTGATGAAATAAGCAAACCCTGACAAAATAAGACAGCTGTCCATTTGACATCGGGAGCATTCAAGATCATTCAAAAAGGGACGTAATCCTTTCTTAGAGATTTAATAACTCAAACGAAAACTGCTTCCTTCATTCATTGTGTGATGCCCAAGTCTAAACTTCTAAACACACTACCAAAGATTTAGTCACAGATAACTGTGTGTGTGTGTGTATGTATGTGACTGAGAGATTTCACATCCCTTGTTACCTCCAATTGTTCTATAACTTTAAGGTTTAAAATTGTTTAAAGTAAACCTGTACTCTCAGGAGTCTGTCTCTTTTTTAGCTTGTCCCACACTGTGTGAGACCAACTGCTTAATGCACTTGTCACAGACCTTTGCCTGGTTAATAGGCATCGGAAACTTTGACGGTTCAGCAGTGACATGAACAGAAAGATGGGGGAAGGAGTTTCTAGTGGAAGCTCTGCTCTTTCAACTCTATGCCCTGTCCCAAAATGTGCTTTCAAATGTAATTCTAGCTTCCAATTTACACTGTACCAGAGTTAAAACTTATTTTTAGTTTCATTTCCATGGAAAATGTGCACTTTGCACTTGATTGATAGATATATTTTGACAGTTAATACAGGTTTACCCCATCAAGGCTTGTTTTAGTTGAAGGTGAAAATGAAAGAGGAAAAAAAAATTACTTTGACAGATTCCAGTATTTCTTTCTTTTTTTTTTTTATTGCATTCGTTGTCTAACAACAATAATACTCATTGGCAAGAAATTTATGTACACTAACAAATTAATCACAGGTACTTTTAGATTGGTCAGAAAACAAAGGACCACTGTGATATTTTTCTTTGAGTGCCTCTGAAAACCACAGAGTAAGGAATGTCATTTGAAACGGAACGATCTAGAGAAGTACATATGAACCAAGCACAAGAGAACAATTCAGACGTGGCACTATTGTCTCTACCATGCAAATGATCAGACACCAACATGTACAAATTAAAAGTCTCAGATAACATGCTACCTGTACTTATTGGACTTAAAATTATTTTCAAACAACTCTTTTTCCTTAGTGATATATAAAGAAAGATGAAAATAAATCAACTTCTTACAGTGGAATGGAGTTCATTCTTTCCCCCCTCCCCACCCCAGCTGCCCAGTTTCATGTAATATGTAGCAGGTGTATTAGTGGTTTAACTGCAACACCACTGAAAAATACAAAAGCAGTAGTTATGACATTAAATAATATTAAGGAAAAATATACATATATATATATATATAAGAGATTTCACTAAGTTTGATGTTGTTGGGAGGTGTTATCTAGCTGGAGTATCTCTTAATTCCTACTATTTTAGGAAAATCGAATGATTTTTGGCCAATTGTTCTTTCATAAATGAATATTATAATCTTTAACAGAAAACTCACATGCATGAATGAAATAGCTGAAAGAAACAGTAGTATACACCTTCCAACAACATATTCATGTTCACACCCACTGCACTGTTTTCGGCATTGATCTAACCATGCCATCACTTGGGACAAGTAAGTAAGTAAGTGGTGTGGTGATGGTAAGTGCTGCCATCAGCGGGTCAGTAGTTTGTGACTCAGGTATCACAGCTACTAAATATGTCATTTGAGAAGTGTGAGCAAATGCACAAGAACCCACAGTGCAACTCAGTCAAGAAATTCCAGTCTGCAGTGGCAAATACTCAAAGCTGCATGAACTTCTGAGCTCCAACTCAGAAATGTGCAATCTTGACATCAAACATTTGAGGACATTTTATCTTTTTAAAATACTAAGTATTTAATAAATCAAATATACCAAAATATATAAACATGTAGAAGGTTAAGTGCATTTAGTAGAAATACTTACATTAAAAAATCTCTTAAAATCTTATGAGCCATTCAATGTATACACAACACAAAAAGTGGCAATAAGGCTATGATTACAGCTCTGGGTCATAACTGACATGACCAGCTTCCATATACAGTATTTTTGATTATGCCATGTGATTGATGTGTAAGAGGGAAGATGTATTCACGCATATGGAGTTCTGTACATCTACACAAGTGGCATGCACATTATTGAGAGTTTGTCTGCTGTTCTCTTATTCATTCTTGAATCCCCAGCAGTTCTGGGTTTGGACAGGGCCAAGGACTGGGAATCATCCTGCTTTCTTTCCCCAAACTGAGCATCTGGAAATAGGGTGTGTGCTGTCCTTGGTACTTACACTCACCTATGTGAGCCCTTCAGGTAACAACCAACCCCTCAACACCCCCCACAAACACCCATGCACAGGCACATGGGGCCCTCAGTCTACCCAAAAGTAAGACTTGATGCTGTCATCTTCTAGGAGGAAATTGTGTTGGTAGGCTTTTTCTTTGACGTCCAACTTCTCTGCTGAGCTGATCCTATGCTGCAATTTCAAGTTATTCAAATGTGTTCTGTCTAGCACTATTTTTTTCCCCAGTGTTTTGGACCAAGACTGTTCCCTGAGAATTTAAATATCTAAGATGAATGCAAACAAGACCTGCCTACATACCCAGTCTGATGTTTAGGAGTGCATCACTGAAGACCATTCAGATTTCTTGTAACACTGCTTTCTCTTGAGAAAGTACCTCACCCCACCCCCAACATAATGAAAACTATTCTACTAGAAAATATGGACATTTTATTCTGGACTTCATCCTTAATGCTTAGCTTTAGAATAATGTCCAGATAGGCCTTTCATTAAAGGTATATTTCAGGAAACACTAAAGTTTTAGCATTAAGTAGGTGACATGAACTCTGGTGACCACTGTCCACCACAGTGAAATGGCCCCAATCTGAGGGACCTTTACTTACTCAATGGAATTTATTCATTTTTAAGTATCTCAGTGTAATGAGGTGGGACTAGAACACATCCAAATATGTATATAAGTTTCTCTTAGAATTGTTGCAACACCTCCCAACACTTAGAAGTTAGAATCCCTACATAAATTCCAAGTTTCATTTACTTTTTTAACCGTATTTTTAAACCACATGTAGTCCTATTGCAAAAAGAATCTAGATGAGAATTCTGTCTTTATCAAAAACCATAAAGGCTAAGATGCTAGAGCCAACAACCTGTTTAGATTTTTCTTGCTTGGGCCTGGGATATTTTAGGATTTCAGGCAAAAGAGGGCTATAGGATCATAAGCAGTGTCAAGGGTTAATTGAGTCCTCACTTGTCCTCCTCCCACTTTGTTTACAGCAACACTGACAAGGATGTACACTGTGGATGCTTCCATCTCCTGTCTGTTCAACTAGAGTTTGGTGTTAGCATCTATCACGCTTCAGTTAGGAACAGATGTGGGTTAAAAATGCTTATGTGGTGGTGGTGGTGGTGCTAAATCCAGTGTTGGCTCCAGCTCAAGAACACTTGACAACAATAGTTTATTGTCAAGAAACTAAAGGTGAGTCTCACCAGTGTGTCAGAATGGGCAAAATTAGGTTTCTGCCCTAATTTATCACAAAAATTTATATTTACTTTAAGTAAACTACTACTGATTCAGGCCAGACAAGGGATGAGAAAAGTATTAGTACATTGAGTAGCTTTATAGGAATTGGTTTTAAACAAAGTAACCTGTTTTATAAAACTAAAATCTTTTAATAGAAAACCCTAATGCAGATACTCAGCTCACACAATGCTGTCTATGAGTTGGCCTCACCACAAGTCCCCATCCCCCAAAAGCACTGTTGTTGTTAGGTGCTGTCCAGTCGGTTCCAACTCCAAGCCACCCTGTGCACAACAGAACTAAACACTGCCCAGCAGTCCTGCCCCAGCCTCACAACCATCACTGTGTTTGAGCCCGTGTTGCAACCACTGTGTCAATCCATCACCTTGAGGATTTTCCTCTTTTTCGCTGACCCTCTATTTACCAAACATGATGTCCTCCTCCAGGGACTGGTCCCTTCTGATAACACGTCCAAAATATGCAAGACAAAGTCTAGCCATCATCTCTTCTAAGAAGATTTGTTTGTTCTTCTGGCAATCCATGGTATGTATGTTCAATATTCTTCACAAACACCGTAATTCAAATGCAAAGCATTACTATACCCAAAAGCACTTCTGGCTGGCTTTAGTATCACACTGAGCTATCCTTCAAGGAATATAGTTCATGATAGCCTGATACTCTCTTTTTATTCATTGTCTGATAATTCAATAAAAAACAGCAAAATCCTTAAGGTTTCATGAAGCAACAATTCTGTGTTAAATTACATGGACGCTAAAAACCACTAGCATTAAAGTAGAAGCTGTGTAAGACACTGGAACTTCAATTAAGCATCATGCACTAAAGTCAATAAAAGAGAAAATAGGAAAATAAAACGCTCATAAGATCCACAGTCCTTCACTTTGCTTTTAAACCCTTATTTCAGATCAGTCAGTTTACATTTTATCCTTTTTCTCAGATAATTAAATCAAGTGTCTCCTACAATTTCAGCAGTATTAAGAAGCAATGTTAAAATAACTCATTAAAACCTAAAATTACCATAACTTAACTTTTTTAAAAAATCAAAATCATTAGAAGCTCAATGATTTGAGGAATAAGATTCTGATTTATATAATGTCTGTTGGACACTGATCTAAACATTGGAAATGTAAAAATAAAGTTAAATATAGAAGAATCCTTTTAAGACATTTCAGAAAACTCATTATAACAGATCATAAATTATGTGCAGAGACAGAAAATTATAGACATCTCCAGTATATACATCTATTTTCAAATATTACCAAAGTGTAAACATAACTTAGGACAATCGCTCAACTTCTATTTCCACTCTTGACATGAATACCGTGAAACTTCCAGTGTGATCCAGGTCACCTTTTCCAAAGTTAAGCAAAAATCACAGACATTCACTATAACAAGCTTTAGTGTTACCAGATTTTGACTAGCTTGGTCTTTTAGACTTAGAAAGATTTGCCGAATTCTGCAGTTCATTAATAACAGCTCCTTGTTTCTCATGGCATTAATAAACAATAAAGCACCAGACAACTCAAGATAGTGACAGAGTACTGAGCATGACAGTTTCCTTATCATACTCCAAATAGACAGAATAACAGACATGTTGGCTTTGATAACTGAAAAACACAATGTTACTTTATGTCAACACTTCTGAGGATTGAATGATGATTTGTCCCTACTGAAGAGAGGACTGAAGCTTAACAGACAACGCCCTGGCACTCCAGTCCTGAGGGGAAGAGCAGGGTTACAGACAGTTCCAGAACTCTGATATAATCAGACAAGCAAAAACAAAAACCACTATGTTGTCAAAATATGAGATTGGGCTGTATGGGCAGGAGCCCCTTCCAATGATCTGTAACCCGAAATCTTCCAAAGCCTTCCCCTAAGCTCTGCATATAATGTGTCTGTGTATAATGTGTCCAGTGGAAGGGAGCAGTACTGCTGGGAACAGAGCAGGGACCCCCATGTAGTAAAGGAAGTAAAACATTTGTCCACCATTTCTTCTGGCCTTGTCTTATTTTGAAACTTGTCCCTTGGAAAGGTCAGGGGAAGACCTCATTTTTAGAGCCAATGGAGCAAAAAGAACCAGACACATGAACATAAAAAGCAAAGAAAAAAAATTCTTTGAAATTTCTCAATGAGTTTATTTCCTCTGCCTTCTACCCTAGGCTCCTCCAGTTGGATGAGTTTGGTGAAATACTGAAATCCTTAATACTGGCTTTGAAATAAATATAATTTTCTCCATTGCCAGACTGCATCTTATGTACTGCCTTAAACAAACTTTAATTGTAAAATGGAACTCACTAAAGTACTGAGGATAATGGTTCAGAAAAACCATTCAAAACATCTCTAAAATGTGACAAACTCCCCTTTACGGGAACATTGTGTTTGCTCAAAAAAATTGGTTGTCTGGCTGAATGTTACTCAAATCTAAATTTTCTCTAACTGGTATTTCTATTTTTCTTAAAAGTACATTTGTTAAAACACTAAGGGAGCCCACTTGGGAAATCTACAGCAGAAAACACGTGACACGTTCCCGACTGTGTCATAGCCAGGCTGAAGACCGGCCAGAAGGCTCCCCAGGAGAGGAGTCTGCAAACGCAGGTTTCCTTAAAATCAATTTCCTGTTCAGAATTTGTTGGTGGAGAAAAAGGAACCATATTGTGTGTGAGCATTACTAAAATACCGAACATGAAGCAGCGGCGAAGTAAACAACAGATCCCAAGACTCCCAGCTGCGTTAGTGTCTAATGTCTTCTTTGCTCAACAGTATCTGGAGGATAAGTGTTTATTTGCCCTTGGAACCCCAAGATAATACCCATATCCACATTTTTAAGGCTTTGTCTCCTTCTGGGGTTGACAAATAACTGCAACTCTTTCTCTCTGATGCCCATTTAACAAGCAGAACAATCTGCTCACCTTTTCCCCTTGTAGGTAATCATGTGACAAGTGTCCACCCAGAGAGGAGTTGTCTCATGGTACAGACACTGAGATGAAGGGGAACTTTTGCTGCACATGGAAGCAAATCCCACACCCCTAGAAGAAAGTACTGATCCCAAACCCCAGGACAGAGTGATGCTTTCTGCCACACAGATAAGTGCTAGTGCCCGGTTTCAGAATCCCACACTGAGAACTCACGGTGCTCCATTAACAACACTGGATGCATCATGCTCTTGTTGGGCAGGGTCATACTGGTTTTCCAAGACAATGCAAGATGTTGGCAAGTAGGAGAAGAGAGAAACACAGCTACTTTTACATCTCTCATAAATGAGATCCCTGGTTTGTTAACTAACCAAAAGTGGTTTGGGATTATTTCAGTAGGTTAAAATTAAGAAGGTATTCTATTATTGCAGAAAAATGTAGTTATTCAACACATGGTTCCTCAATCTTCTTAGAGTAGTGTTACCCTTGTCATCAGTTTCTTTTTTGTCCTCCAGAGAAGAATAGAGAAGGAAGAGCTGGGGCCTCGTCTTGGAACATCCCCATCCTCTGCCTGGGGTGTGTGTTACTGCTCACTGGCACCTTCTGTTGGATCTGATGTTGTCTTTTCTGTCTTTTTGGACTTCCTTTGCATTTGGTCTTGTTCCTTTCGCCTCAGCTTTTCTCTTTGTTTTTCCATTTTCTCTTGAGCCTTCCGAGCCTTCTCTAGAGACACCTTCATTTCCTTAAGTTTTTTTTTGACAAGTGCTCGGTCCTGGGATGATGCCATTCCAAGAGCCTAAGAAGGAAAACACATATACAAACCAAATTTGAAAAACCAATGACCTCTCTGCTTATGATGAAGTTGATAACACATTGTGTGTTTGGACTCACAATCTAATTTAAGCACAGACAGAAGAGGTAAGAACTGAGGAAGAGCTCATTATATTTGCCAAAGAATACACTGGAGGGCTGCGTTTCACTTGTTCTTCTAAGATTCTAGAATAGTATAATCTAAACTTCACAAATACATGCTTTGTATTGGGCTATAGACATTTACAGGCAAAAGTATTATTATGCTCATCAATATTTTCAAAGAGTAGGAGTGGGCATCTGCTGCTATACAGGACTACAAAATGGGCAGGAAGAATAAATATGGCTTCCTTTCTGATCATGATTCGTTTACAGTGAGAACCCAAACTGTCTTTGGGACCAGAACGCCCATGTCAGCGTGACTAGCCATTCTCTCCCTGTTGGCAGGCCTATAAAGGAAGCCTAATTATAATGCAGAGACTGCTCAATGAGCTTGGAATTCAGAATTAGGGGAGTTGGTTATATAGTTTAAATGCTTCATGACCTTAAGAATCAACAGCCAGATGCATCCATCTCCCTGACAGGGACAGTCTTGTCAATGAGGCTTTCATATGCACAGGCTATTGATTGATCTCTAACCTTTTCAAGACAGTCAAGAGATACTCATCTGCCCATCAACCTAGCAGGGGGTGAGGGGTAGCTGGCTCTAAGCTCCTTTTGCCCTTTTTCCACAGGGGTGGGTGCCACATCAGTCTCAGAGAGATGGACTAGATGAGTGGAAATGAGAATATGATGGAAAGGAAGGGAGGACAGGGCCTGCATGTATTTGGGGAACAAAGTCCTGGGGAGACTTTAGGAGTGGTATGCAGGAAAGGAGGAGAAGTGAATAAAGAAGAGAAGATTCATGGGTTTGGTTCTTAATTCTTAATTCTGATGTGATGAAGACATCCACACTGGCCATTATTAAAACTCATACTACATAGGAAGTAAGTAGAGATAATATATAGACCATGTATTGCCAGGTGGAAGCAATGGAGTGGTCCCTAGTTCTCCCAATCAGCAGCTGGCTGTTGGAATTTGGATGCCTAATGGGATTTCCAAAATTCATTTATTACCCAGAAATAAGTCAACATTCTTTCTGCTGACTGTTGATGAGAAGTATTTCTCAAAGAAGCAGAATACTTCTATCTAATGAAAACATTTTAGGTGCTGTAAGTAACACAAATGATATCTGGTAACCTAACATAGACGTATCACTCTTTACCTTAAGCTTACTTCCATCCAACTGCAGGAGTTGCTCTCCAGTGATGTTTTGGGCACTGAATTCAGATACGTACTGCTCCAGATTTAGGCTCCTTAACCAGTGAGAAACCTGCTGCACGCTCCATTCATGAACGGCCCGATTCTGACACTGACTGTGTTTGGGAGACTGTCCATCATCAAGGATCTGAGATAGGAATGTCACGCAGTGTTGTTAAAGGACCACAATGCCATGACTCAGCATGGCACATTATGCTGTAAAAAGGAGTCTCTTGCCTACTAGAGCCACATTTATTTTTAAATCATAAAATGGTAAGCTAATGTTTCTAGTTATATATATAAAGAGAAACACACTTATTATCTATGCTTTTAGGTATTTATAAATTTTAAAAATTCCCCCAAATATAGCAGTATTAGTAATGTAGGATGTTTAATAGTGAAGATACACTCTGATGGTACAAGCTTGTGCATGAAAACACTTTGGAAACATTATCAGATGTAGGAAATAAATATGTCATTAATTGTTTCTATAGGAAATGCAACACTCTCTATTTTTCCTCTGATAAGACATCAGAGATATTTAAAAATACATTTAAAAAATACAACGGTATCTTCTACTCGGAAGAGGAGAGCATTAAGCCCTCAAGCATTCTTAGGGGAAATGTCACATCCATTATTCCATTTAAGCAGCAAAGCAAACCTGTGAATAAGATAGAGGAGATCATATTCATAATTACTTTTAATAGATGAGGAACCTGAAGCTCAGAAAGTGTACATGATCTGTCCAAGTGGTAGAGCTCAACAGAGTGCTTGTACTCCCAATCCCAGGCTTTGTCCAGAGCAAAATATTGTTTTAGCAGAGAAAAGGGGCAGGTTATTCCTAGAAACACTAAGCTGAGAAGAGATGAAGGTGATGACAGGTCTTAGGGGAAGACAGGTGTCACCTTGGTGACCCTGTGGGGAACACAGAAGAGGGGAAGGGTTAAGCTGGGATGAAGGCAAAGAAATGAAACAGAATGGACCGTATCAAGGTAATGGTGATAGAAGACAAACTGAGGAACTCTGGAGGTGGAACTGGAGAGCCACTTAATTCAGAAAAGCTTTTTAAACTAACATATACATAAGGGCAGAGAGTAGAGCTATTTAACACAGGGAACTCCTCCACTATAGAAGCTAGTTTTCTTGTATTGTTGGCTTTTTATATTATCAGCAAAGAGAGAAAGAAGATTCAAACAACATCACATGAGCCACCACATACAAACCACTGATAGCTCACCTCGTCATCTATCATATCCAGGCTCTGAGAGAGGGAGCAACAAAGGAATGAGAAAGACAAATGTTATAGAAACAGAAGACACACATACACAGTGCAAAGCTTTATAAAAACTGAAATCGGAACAAGCCTAAAGAACATGGGCAGAAAAGTTTAAAAGAAAAAAAAAAGTTTTACAAAACAAACATCCTCTTAGAAAGGAAATAATAACAAATATTTAGAGAAAAATATCTTTGTTTACAATGTCTTCCCATTCCTCCCAGGAATGGAATTTCAAATACTGCTATTTCTTTTTTTGTCTCTTGAGGAATTAAGTCAATCACAAAAGTAATTTTCTGCATCTCTTGTACGTGACAGAGGAAAAAAGAAAGTAATCATCAAAATTTCATATTGAATATAAACCATGGCCCTGATGATTTATATGTAAACCTACCCTAAGAAAACACACGTTTTCCCAGAGATAGTTCCTGGATAAACTCTATGATTTGAGAAAGCAGTTCTAACGTAACTGCCATGCAAGTACCTCATCTGATGACAGTGCTAAGGACTGCGAGAGCCCTGGTGTTTTAGGTTCTGCTCCTAAGCCACTCAGGTCTGCCGAACTGGTACTGCTGGGACTGAAGTCATCATTGAAGGTAAAATTCTGAAAAAATAAACAAAGCCTAGTGTTAAGTGAACACAGTGAGTGAACGTGAGGTAGGTGAGTTTCCAAGTTCTAAAAACATTCTTTGTTAGCCATCTTGTAAGAAATGTATGTTCAGTTTGGTGATGACTTTCAACCAGGCTGTGGTTGAGAACACTGCCTCTCTTCTGGCTTATTGGGAATTCTGGGCACTCTCTCCATCTGATAAAAGGACTGGTGTTTTAGAGAAATGGTTCTTCAATCTCTCTTCAAGGGTACAGAATTCATTGTCCTCTGCAACTGTTCAGAGGAGTAATATTAATAAGCCTATCTTCTTTGGCCCTAATCGTGATGAGTAACAGTGTTAAGTGAAGATACAAGATGGTGTGGAGAGGCTGAGTTATTAGGAACAGATGGCAATCCATATTAGAAAGGTAGCTATCGCACCTCCTGGGAAGGATCGCTTGTTGCTGCCTATGATAAATACTGTGAGAAATGGCAGATCCTCTCCTGGATACACCCTTCAAGATGATGAGTTCTGGGGGAGGTCAGAGTCTGACAATACACCAGTAGGTACATGCTAAAATACAACTCTCACACAGCTCTAGCTGATTATCAAAGAGGTTGCAGCACAGAGCAGAAACATGCTCCCAAACAAGTACTTGGGGGTGAGAGTAGAGAGGAGTGTGTTATATAAAACTTCCCCAGGACTTCATTAAAAAAAAAAATGTTCATTGAATATTAAAAGCCAATCAATTAACAATCGTTACATAGCTGCATCTGGGAAAACATTTTAAACAAATCTGGAGACTCTTCAGTGTAAGATAATGGGAGAATTAGTCAAACAACATCTCGATGTCTTAGATATGATGCTAAAAAATGTCATAGCCAAAGTCGCCTATTGTCTTGAAAACTTCTAATAATTGTACATGGCTGGTACCCCAGGAACTCTTAAGCACTTGATCAACACCATCTTGTTTCATATTCTAATTCCTTAGGAACAGGACTGTTAGTTTCCAATTAGGTTCCTTTGTATTGGGTTTAGTTGGTTGCCAAGAATAAATATTATGCCAGAGGCTAGAGAATTCAGTACCAAACAAGCTCCAAGGCTTTCTAAAACTTCAGAAAGGGGAGTCTAAATCAGCACACATGGAGGTATGCTAGCAGAACATTACGGCAGGAGGGAATTTAACACAAACATTACCATTTGACCTCATCTATGGAGATATCACCCCAAACCTAGGTTCAAACCCACTGAACTGTTGACCTCAAGAAGAGAATTAAATTCAAGTAACACTAATCACATTTCTTTTGAGAAAGAAAAGCGAACACAGATAAAAGGAGATCAAACAACATGTGAAAGTTAGCCACCATATGTGTTTCAATAAAATGTTAGATAAGGTTTTGCAACGTCATGCTGGAAATAACCATCATGCATTTAAAAACAAGTTAACACCCATGCACGTAACTCATAATTCTGCTGAAGTTAAAGAAGTTTGGTGATAGAATTACAACAGTTGTTCAACAAGGCAGTTTGATACTAAAAGAGGAAACTAGTAAGGGTGCTATGCCAGCTTTGGTTTGTTTTTTAAAAGAGTTTCACTTAGATGTACTGAACACATATTCAACTGCAAATTTATTTATTTTCCAGTAAATCTTGAAGAGCACAGCAAAATAGTTTTGTAATATAATTTAAAGTGGAATATTTGGTAAACAGATCTATCGTTCTGTTCAATGATTCAAATGCATCTTTCCCAGCATGGCTTAACTGTCAAAGTGAGATTAAACAGCAGTATGTGAAAAGACAGGCAAATCAAAGAGCAATGTACCATCTAGAATGGAACAGTATCAAAGAGGTGATGGTTAAACAAGACTTTCTCTTTTCCCACACAACAAATACCATGCATTGTTTATTGCAGTGTTATCACATTGGTTTCTTGGATCCAGAGTGTACACACAAGTTGAGAGTGCCTTCCAAAGACTGAAGAGGAAGAGGGGTTTGGGTTTTTCTTGTTTGCTTTTTTAATCCATGTGTTTTCTACCTTGGACCCCTTTTTATCTGAAATTAGAGTCTCAGGAGAAAGCTGAAGAGGGCTTGTAGGTGAAGGCAGGTTCCTGAAGGAATAAGATCCTTTTCTGCTTTCATGAAACCATGAGAAAGGCATGCAAGGTGAGCGACAGGAGGCCTGAGCTGGGGGGGAGGTCTTGGGCTTCCAGTTTTCCAGCCTGCCTCTGAAGACCCTGTTTTACAAAAGGAATGAGTGTGTTAGACAATGAAGAGGTACATACAAAACTTAATGAATTCTGAATTTAAAGTAGTATTTTGAGAAACTGTTCCACACAACAGACAAAAAACTTTTTTGCACTTTTGACTAGAACATTAATCTTAGTTACTTTTTGTATCTAAATGGATTGTATAGCAATGATCAACATTTTTGCATTGCTACTGCCATGCTGAATTTTTATGAAATGTGTCTATTCAGTGTACCCAGATATATCAACATTATGGAGGGGCACAGTCTCTTAGGGATTACTATTAGGTTAGTCATTTCCTTCATCTGGCTGACACTGCAGTATGGCACTGCTAGTAAAATTAGCTCAAGACCAGCATTCTTCCCTGTCTTCTTGAGGTCTCATGTTCTTGCTTTGAGACTTTAGAAAATTATATATTTAAGTAACTTAGAAATTTCAGGGTTCATAATAGTAAACTATTAAGAAACTATTAGTAAAACTAAGTAAACTAAGCAGAACCCACATCCTACTGGTTTTTCATCAGAAAATTTAGTGCCTAACAGCCGGGTGGGAGTTCCAGGGTTTACTACTCCCTGAGTACATGGCCTTGGTCTTTTCCCAGCTTTGATTTCCTCATCTGTAAATTGTGGATAATTTATGTATCTCATATGTTGTGAAAAATTAAGTATTAAGATAATGCCTTATTTGAAAAAGGCTTTTAGTAGCCCCAAATCCTGGACAGGTAGCATTAGAAACAAAATTTAAAGATAATATCTAATTAAAACTCTTTCAAAACATTCTTACTGACAATACATGTTCTAGACTAATAATGCCACATGGAATTGTATATCCAGCACTGAGGACAGCACCAGGGGCCATGATGTGAATGTGGTAAAGCCCAGAGGCATTCCTCTTCCAACTTTACACTCCAAGTCAATGGTGGAGTGGTAGAACAGCAGAGTAGGAAGCAAGAAAAGGCCACTTCTAAGAAAACGATCACTGTCTTCAGAGCTGCATACCACCAGGTGAGGTATGCTCTAAAGAACATTTGTGAGTTCTCCACAAGCCTGATGGGGACCCTGCTGAGGCTGTATTCTTTTTTCTTTGTGTATCCTGACTCCAAAACCTCCATGAACTGATGTAACCCCTATGTGGTTTCTAGTATCCTTAAAGGGATTAGTATGCTTCCATCTACATTAGAGTATAGAATGTTGTTGTTGTTAGGTGTCATCAAGTCGGCTCCAACTCATAGTGACCCTATGTACAACAGAACGAAAACACTGCCTGGTCCTGTGCCAGTCTCACAATCCTTGCTATACTTGAGCCCATCGCTGCAGCCACTGTGTCAATCCATCTCACTGAGGGCCTTCCTCTTCTTTGCTGACCCTCCACTTTACCAAGCATGATATTCTTCTCCAGGGAATGGTCCCTTCTGACAACATGACCAAAGTAGGTGAGACAAAGTCTGGCCATTCTCGCTTCCAAGGAGCATTCTGGCTGCATTCCTTGCAGGACAGATTTGTTCATTCTTGTAGCAGTCCATGGTACTTTCAGTATTCTTCGCCAACAACTCACAAGCAACAACTCTTCTTTGGTCTTCCACATTCATTTTCCAGTTGTCACATGTATATGAGGTGATTGAAAATACCACAGCTTGAGTTAGGTGCACCTTAGTCTTCAATGAAACATCTTTGATCTTCAGCACTTTAAAGAGGTCTTTTGCAGCAGGTTTGCCCAGTGCAATACGTTGTCTGATGTCTTGATTGCTGCTTCCATTGGTGTTGATTGTGGAACCAAGCAATATGAAACCTTTGACAACTTCAATCTGTTCTCCATTTATCATAATACTGTTTATTGGTTCAGTTGTGAGGATTTTCATTTTCTTTATGTTGAGATGTAATCCATATGGCAGACTGAAGTCTTTAACCTTCATCAGTAAGTGCTTCAAGTCATCCCCACTTTCAGCAAGCAAAGTTGTGTTGTCTGCATATCACAGGCTGTTAATGAGCCTTCTTCCAATCCTGATGGCACATTCTTCATCATATAGTCCAGCATCTCAGATTATTTGCTCAGCATACAGATTGAATAAGTATGGTGAAAGGATTCAACCCTGATGCACTCTCTTCCTGGTTTTCAACCATGCAGTACCCCCTTGTTATGTTTGAATGACGGCCTCCTGGTTTATGTACAGGTTCCTGATGGGCACAATCAAGTGCTCTGGAATTCCCATTCTTCTCAATGTTGTCCATAATTTGTTACGATCCACACAGTCAAATGCTTTCACATAGACAAGAAAACACAAGCAAACATCTTTCTGGTATTCTTTGCTTTCAGCCAAGATCCATCTGACATCAGCAATGATATCCCTCATCCTCTTCTGAATCCAGCTTGCATTTCTGGGAGTTCTCTGTCAATATACTGCTGTGATCGTTTTTCAATTATCTTCAGCAAGATTTTACTTGAGTGTGATATTAATGATATTGTTTGATAAATTTCACATTCTGTGGGATCAGCTTTCTTTGCAATGGGTACAAATATGGATCTCTTCCAGCAGTTGGCCAGGTAGCTGTCATCCAAATTTCTTGGCATAGAGTGCCTCCAGCACGGCATCCGTTCAGTTCTTTCAATTTGAGAAATGCTGAGTGTGTTCTTCCCTTTTGGTTTTCTAGCTCCAGGTCTTTGCACATTTCATTATAATAATTGGTTCTGTCTTCTCGAGTTGTTCTTTGAAATCTTCTATTCAGCTCTTTTATCTTGTCATTTCTTCCATTTGTTTTAGGTACTCTTTGCTCAAGGGCAAGTTTCAGAGTCTCTTCTGACATCCATTTTGGTCTTTTCTTCCTTTCCTGTCTTTTTAATGACCTTTTGCTTTCTTCATGGGTGATGTTCCTGATGTCATCCCACAATTCCTCTAGTTTTTGGTCATTGGTATTCAATGCACCAAATCTATTCTTTAGAGTATAGACATATAGAATATATATATTTTAAACTTTCTATTACTTTAAAATTATTGACCTATTAGCTTACTAAACATCTTTTCTAAAATATATGCCAATCAAACACTTGGGCATACAAAAGGAGGAAGGATGGTTTGAGAACAGTATTCTATTACCACTTATAGTCTGTTTCACTTTGTGGAGACATCTGTTAGGAATAACATGAAATTCTTTCTTAATTCCTCCCTCCTGTCTACACTCCCTCTTTCCCTCCATCATTTCTCCCTCCTTTCTGTCCTTTGTCCCTGCTTTCTTTCTTTTTTTTTTTTGGACTGTGATGGAAGTTTATGTGCTCAGACACATAAACTCAATATAGATCTTTAATGAGACCCTTGAAAATGCAGGCTGGCAGAAGTGAACTCTTGACTATGATTACAGAGGATCGAACAGGTATATATTCTATATTTCCATTTTACCTTCATTTTTAGATTGTACTAATGGGTTGCTGTCATTTTTTGGAAAAAAAAAAGATAGAATTATAAGTTACTGTTACACTCCTAATAATTTTATTATTTGGGACTAGGAAAAACAATGACTTCATATTAGCCCTTTATAGTCCAAAGCTGTCATTTTCTTTGGGGGGGGGGTAGCTATACTCTAGCATTTAAGTTATTTATAGTTAACAGCTCTATACCAGTTAACTCATTTGTATACATCTTAAAACAATTTATCTCAGGGTGTAAGCACCTAAAAATTAAATTGCTCAGTAAACATTCCATGGTAGTGTTTTTTCCTTTTTCTCTGAGTACAAGATATGTGAAGTATTCAGAATCTAAACTGCTGGAAGAAAAAAAAAAGTATGGAAAGGCTATATAGTCCAAGAAGGTTGTCCAAACCCAAAACCAAACCCACTGCCACTGAGTTGTTTCTGACTCATAGCAATCTTATAGGACAGAGTAAAACTGCCCCATAGGATTTCCAAAGGTGTAAATCTTTACAAAAGCAGACTACCAGATCTTTCTTATGTAGGGTGGCTAGTGGTTTTGAACTGCTGACCTTTTGGTTAGCAGCCTAGTGTCTAACCACTGTGCAACCACGGGTCCTTAAGAAGCTAGTAAAGAAAAGAGAGGTAGCTGCAACCAGAGGAAGTGTTGTGGATTTTGATTTACTCAAATCAGTACTTTTGTAAGGTTCCAATATCCACCAAAGAGATGGGTTGGAAAGCTAGCACTGTCTGAATGGTACCTGGAGAGTCTATTGTATAACAGATATGGAAAACACATAGCCCATCATCTTGGACACACCTTATTCCCAGATCCCAAGGTCTAATTAAATCTATGATCAACAATCAACTAGGCCCATTCTGTGATAGTTAATGTGGAGTGTTCAACCTTAACTTGCTTAAGATGGTAAAACTGTTGCTTCCCAACACTGAGGGTTGAAAATGAAATAGCAAGCTGATCATGCAAATAGGACCCCTACTATCAAAGTGCAAATGTTAAGTTTAGGAATAATATATATCTTGGTTAAGGGTTTAAGAAAGTCTGTACTATTAAAAATCTGAGAAATCTGTCTACTGATTCTACCTTAAAAAATTTAACTGATTAGATTTCTGTTTTTAAGGTACAAACTAAGTAAAACACATTGTTAAGAGCAGTAGGATGTTTCAAAAAAAAAAAAAAATCCAAACTCACTGCCATCAAGTTGGATCTGAGTGATAGTGACCCCTCCTTGGGTTTCCAAGGCAGTATCACTATGGAAGTAGAACCCAATCTTCCTTCCAAGGAGTGGCTGGTGGGTTTGAACCGTTTATAGAGTCATCATATTTATAGTTTTAACATATTAGATTTATGAGAGGTTTTTAAGTACAGAAAATTGTTTTGCTTGTTAGGAATGCAAGCTTGTCGGGTTTCAGCTACTTGAAGTGCTTATAAAGGGTACTGAATACATTAAATCTGTAGTTGCAGCTAAAAACAAGACAGCCAGTTCAAGGGGATAGAGTCTACTCTATCAAGTCTAGGTAAACATTAAACAAGATGATTTTTTATTTGTATTTTACATAAAATTTTATAG